CTTCCCGGGCCGGGAGGAGCCCGCTGTGCCCCGCACTGACGCCCTGCTCAGCCCTCCTACCCTTTACCGCAGCCGGACGTTTTGCAGCCCAGAAGAAATGCCAACGCGGCCCGTGTTCCGTGGCAGGGAGGTCTGGGTGCGCGGGGCCCTCCTGAGAGGCTTCAGGTGCAGCCCTGCTCCTGGAGCAGCTGGAGCCGGGGATGGACACACCAGCCCCTGAACGCGGTATCGAAGCCGGGACCGTGCAGATAGTGCAGATGGGCCCTTACCTGTCGCAGTGCTCCCAGCCGCCTGAGGCAGGGCTGGGATGGGCCACACCGCCCCTGAGCACGGACAGGGCATCCGAGGGGACATGATACCAATTCCACGACATGAATAAAGCCTGGCCTCATCTGCGACGCACTCAGCAGGGGTGAGAAGTCCTCTGTCGCGGCCCGCAGGACCACACGGGAGAGGCCGGCCACCATCCCTGCCSTCCCCACTCCCAGACACACTGTCCTGCCGTGGTCCTGCCGCTGGACATGGTTGGTGAGCCTCAGAGCACCCTCCCTCCCACCCACCGGCATGGACAGCTAGTGTGGGTCACCCAGCYGGGCTCCTGATCATCCTTGCTCCAACTCTTAGGCTGATACCTGTGATCCCACACCACATCCCAGGCACACACAGCAGCCCCGGTGCCCCCCAGCCTGGGGGTGCCCATGGGGATGGCAAGCAGAGCAGTCTTCGGGATGCCACAAGGAAACCACGCAACCAGATTGACATCCCAAGAGTCTCTTCAGCGGCTTTGCCCCTACATACAGGTGCATCTACAGAATATATACATGCCTTAGCAAGGGGATACTGGGAACCGTGCCACGCATGGCTGAGGGTGCTCAACTAATGAGTACAAAAGTGTGGAGGGCTCCATGTGCCCTCCAAGTCCAAAGTTCCTCCTGTTCAGTTGCAGGAGGGTCTGATTTTGGGGCACGGTGGGTGACCTGCCAGGGCTCCTGGCGGCACGTGGCTTTGGCACTGCCCAGCTTGCTCACGATGCTGCCAGGTCCGGGAGGATGGACTGGTGGCAGAATGCTGGGGGATGCTCAGGGTGGCAGAGCCCAGCCCAGGTGCTTCATCTGGACTGTGATCCCAGACTGAGASCTGGGGGGAGCTGGAGGGCCCTGCTCCATGCCCGTGGGCATCGGGCAGCAGCCAGTGGCACTCTGCCATGGGCATTCCTCTCATGGGCTAACCCTTGGGGAGGAGGACCTGGAGATTTCCCTATGGAAGTGAAAGGTGTTCGCATCCTGCTGCCAGCACCTGTGCGGCATCCAAAATGCATTTTTTGGGTGGCCCTGGAGTGTCTGTAGTGAGTGAGGGAATGTCCCCTCGGCACACCTCTCATCAGGATGCCCTCTCCTCCCCGGCTGCCCACTCCTGCAGTGGGGTGAGGTGCCAGGAGTCTCCTCAGTCTTTTCCCTGTACAGCTGGAGGCCGGCTGGCAGGGAGGGCRCTTCCTGCCCCTCCATGTGGCATGTCCAAAGCCCCAAATGTCCGTGGAGTCTCTKTTTTCACCCTGTAATTGCACAGCCCCCTGCGACCCTGTGGCAGCTCCCTGCTCCTCCTCAAGCAGTGGTGGCTGCTGGTCTATCCCTGTTCCAGCGGGCACACACCCGCACATGTCCCTTCCCTGGACACCTGCCCTGCCTGTGGGCTGAGCTTCCTCATGGAGACAGTCCAGCTGAAGTTCCTCCGCTCCAGCCGGGGGAGAGAAGCCACTCTGTCCTGGTCCTCATCACCAAGAACATGCTGTGCCAACAGATACCCCTGGTCTGAGCCCGTGCTGCTGCTGGGCTCTGGGCCACAAGGAAGCAGGAGCTCTGCGTTGTCCCATGCCATGGCTCTGTGCTGTCCCTGTGGCTCTCTGAGGCCTGGCTGTACAATGAGAACAAGAGCAGCTGCTCAGCATTTATGGCTAAGTCCGAGTGAAGTGGCTTCCGCTTGCGTACGGGGCTCCTCTGGGGACAGGGAAGGATGGGGATCAGGCTGGGCGGGAGCCAAGGGTCAGTCTTCACTGGCCGACTCCTGGAGAAGGCGGTGGATGTCCTGGAAGGAGGGACGATCTTTAGTGTCCCGTCTCCAGCAGCTGAGCATTAGCTTATAGACTGAGTCGGGGCATAGCGCAGGCTGGGGAAGGTAGGTCTGCAAAACAGAGGGCAMAGATGGCAAAGGGACAGTTACTGCCACAGAAACCAATGTGCAAACTGCTCCTGGAGAGCCCTGTTTCTCAGGGAGTCCCATATGTCCCTGCCCCAGGGAGCCCAGCTGACACAGTGCTTCTATCCCCAGACCACGAACACTGAAATGGGGTCAGTGCCTTGGGCTGTGTGAAGTGCAGGGTTTGCCATGATGGGCCCTTCACCAAGATTCCTTCCCAGAGGAGTTCCTGTCCCATGACTGCTTCACAGCCAAGCTCTCTGGTCACCTTTAAGCCTCTAYCCAAGTCCCTGACATCCCAGGCACACCACTGCCCATTCCATCCCATCCCGTCCCATCCCATGGATCCCATCCCATCCCCACCTGCCGGCCCTGGTCCCGGAAGAACTCGCCGGTGTTTTCGATGACCTGCTCATCGGACATCTGGGAGTAGGGCTGCTCCYGGCAGAGCGTGAAGGTCTCCCACAGCGTCACGCCGAATGCCCACACGTCGCTGGCCGTTGTGAACTTGCCCTGGCCAGGGAGAGCAGAGCAGGGTCAGCCATGGGCTTGGCCTCATCCTGCTCCAGAGGTGGTAGGTGCTCAGGGATCAAAACCTCACTCTGGATGCTTCAGCATCCGGATCTGGGCCCAGAGGGGTGCTTGGCTTCACAGACCTGCCCTGCCAGAGCTGGTGAGCTCCAGGTCAGGCTGGCAGTGACTGYTCTGAGAGCTGGGACTCACCAAGGACCCAGCTCCCTCCAAAAGTAAAAAGCAACACTGCTGCCTCTTCCAGGTCTCCCATGGCCAGGACAAAAAGTCAATCATCCCACTTAAAGCATGTCCTGCACTGGGACATCAAAAATCACCGTAACCCCCCAGCCCACCTTGAAAAACTGCTACCACTCCTGCTCTCCCCATGCTTCACCCCAAATGTGGGCTGCAGAGAGCAGAGACCTCCCCATCCCTTCTGCACACCCCAGCCCAAGGAAATGAGGCAGTGAGCATCCCCAGAGCCGTGCCAGCATCCATCAGAGGACCCCAGCCCCRTGTACCAGCAGGATGCTCTCCCAGGACATCCATCGGATGGGGAGCACCGCCCGGCCCTGGATGCGGTAGTAGTCACCGCTGTAGAGGTTCCTGCTCATCCCAAAGTCAGCGATCTTGATGGTGTAGTGCTTCCCCACCAGGCAGTTACGCGTGGCCAGGTCCCGGTGCACGAAGTTGAGGGATGAGAGGTACTTCATGCCTGAGGCAATCTGGGTGGCCATGAACCGCAGGTCACTGTCCGGGGCACAAGGGAGGAGTGAGTGMTGGGGAGGGAGGGAGGAAATAAAGGGAAAGGAGGGAGGGCGTGGCTCCCAGCAGGGTATTCCAGGGGCAAGCAGCCTTGCCTGCCCCTGTTATCCTGGACAACCCTACCTGATGCTGGGTGCKTGGCCAGCAGCAGGGCCGCCTGCCTGCTGGCGGGACAGGAACTGGTTGAGGTCCCCGTTCTCCATGTACTCGGTGATCATGCACAGGGGGTCATCTGTGATGCACACCGCCAGCAGCCGGATGATGTTGGGGTCCTTCAGCCGYGACATGATCTTGATTTCCTTCAGAAAATCATTCCTTTCCGGAACAGAAACCACACAGATCGGATAGACAGACCCAGAGGGGCACGGAGCTGTGCACAGCCTGGCCAAGAGCGCCCCTCGCCCACCCCATTCTCCTGGGGGACCTGTGGGTGCCCTCCCCTGGGACTGCAGGGTGTGCTCAGCAGGTGGACAGGCACTGGGGAGCTCATTAGGGCCCAGGATCCTGACACAGGACTGCCCAGAATCCCCAGAAAGCTCAGATGTGTGGTCCTTGCAGCTGCACTGAGCTCATGGCTGATGGAGACAGGGCCATCCCAGCTGTGCTGGCRGGGCTGTGCATGGGGGCAGTGCTGGGAGTGTGCACCCCTCAGCCCCTACCTGGCGTTCTTGTTGGCATCCGCCCGCAGCATCTTCACGGCCACCAGCACGGGGCCATCAGAGCAACCATCCAAGCCCTCYAGGGCAAAGTCCTTCCCTGTGAACTTCTCCATCCCCTCCACTTCACAGAGGTGGACCTGGGGGAGCAAGGGCAGCCATTACCTCTGCGGACTGACACTCTTCCCCAGCCCCTGTGAACTGGGGAGAGCTTTGCCTGAGCCCTGCTCGGAGCAGGCCTGATTCCTGCTCACCTCCCCAAACTGGCCTTCCCCCAGCTTCTCYTTGAAGGTCAGCAGCTTCCTGGGGAATTCCTCGACAGCCACATCCTTTCCAGAGAGCAGGTCCATGGTGAGGGCTGGCACTGAGTAGGTGTTGCCGCCTGTSACACCCTGCAGGTTCACAATGTCCGCCTCGGCGTAGTGCGGGACGCCCTCGGGGACGCTGGCCTGGGATGGCTTTGCTGGGCCGCTGCAGCCTGGGGGGACACAGTGGGGCCAGCCCTGCCATGGGTGTCCTGCCCTGTGCCCTCTGCTCCCTGGTGGCTGCTCACACACCGTCCCTGTCCTCCCCAGAGCCCCCGCACTGCTGCATTCCATCACAGGCTCCTCTTGCCCTTCACTGGCAAACACATCCCGAGCACCAGACGAGCAGAGATCAATGCCTGACTCCCAAATCATTGCGGAAGAGGTGCCAGAGCATCCCAAGGATGACAGCAGGACACAGCTTAGGCTGGCACTTCAGTGATGGCTCTCAGTCACAGGCTTTGTGTGACCTTTGCGTGGGATGCACAGGGGCTTGTGCAGCTTYTCCCCTCTGTGACAGAATGTTTGGAGAGTGGCCAAAATCTGGGGGGAGGGGGCTCTGAGCAGCAGGCTCAATGTGGGGTCGATGRCTCTGAGCATGCAGGGGGTCCTGGCTCTCACCCGTGTCCTCCTCCCCYGAGGTGAACTCGGGCAGCTTGCGGATCAGGCGCGAGGGCTCCTGGTAGTCAGGCCCCAGGGGGAAGATGCGGTCATAGGTGGAGTTGGACTCCTGCTCGCTGGAGGAGGAGGAGCGGTTGTGGTTGAACATGCTGGACTCGCTGGGCAGGGAGAGGCTCACGGTCATCTCATCATCCAGCATTCGCCGTGACGCCTGTGAGAGCGGGGCGAGGGAGAACAGAGRTGGGGTTCCCCACAGTGTGGGGTCTGTTTTGTTTCGTGGTGCCAGGGGTGTGCCCAAACCTCCTCTCTAGTGCCTTGTCCCTGGGATGCCACACCTGCCCGGGTCTGCCCTCATGCTTTCCCCTTCTCTTGTCTGCCTCTATGGAGAAGSGTTTGGCTTCATCACTTCTGTGAGTGACCTTGGTTAGGGGGTGCCTGTGGTGAGAACCCCCCCACACCCTGGCTCTGCTGCCCCAGATCAGCTTCAGGACAGAGGGATGGACAGACAGACAAGTCACAAAGTCACACCCTGCTCAACTGAGTCCCCTTGCTTGGRGGATGGGTGCAAGGCACAGCCTTCCTGAGGAGGGAAGGGAGCACTCTGTTTTCCAAACRATGAGCTTCCAGAAGAACCTGCCCAGAATGAGCCCTAGGGCACCTCAGCRGCCACACTGAGCTTGCCCACCTTCTCCAGCATCTTCTGCCAGAACTGCCGCCACAGGATGATGACAATGATGGCCAGCAGGATGAAGATGATGGCCACCAGGCACCCGATCAGGATGCGCGTGTTGCTGTCATCTACCTTGAGCGTGGGGTCTGGACAGAGAAGGGGACAGCGAGAGCCAGTCACAGTGGGGCATGGGGAGACCCCTGCCCCTTTTCCACATGGGATGGGGCACAGCCCCTCTCCCAGCACAGGGTGCTTTCTGTGCCTTACCATAGGTGGTGGGGACCACAGGTGCCTCGGCRGGGGGCACCGAGTTATTGTACATGGCTGCATCTGGCCAGGGAGAAGAGAACTTCAGGGTGGGAGCTGTGTGTGCCCACAGCCCTGCTCCCTCCCTGAAATCCCACCCAGGAGGGCCTAGTGACGGCGGGTACCTGACTGGAAGGTGATCTCRCTGAACATCATCCAGCTGTCGGCAAAGTAGTACTGGCACTTGATGGCGCTGGCCATGCGGTGCAGCAGGGGCACGGTGACGAAGCGGGCGCTGGGGTTCACGTCATCCAGCACCAGCACCGAGGAGACGGCGCCGGGCTCCCACTCACCAGCGTCGGCGCGGAAGTAGCACTGCACCTCCTTGAAGATCTTCACCCCTTTGGCGAACATGTTGTTGCAGTGCACCTGTGGGGCAGCCTGTCAGCGCAGCCGCCGAGGGCCACGGGACCGGGTGACGGGGCGGGGGGTGCGGGGACCTTCATAGCTGTGAAGTTGCGGATGCGGTCGAACTCGAAGGTGATCTCCACGAAGCCGCCGGCCGTGCTCTCGTTGCGCCAGCCCACGTAGTCGTAGCCCGGCCAGACGTGGTACTCGTGGGTCTGCGTGAAGTCGTCCAGCCCCGACACCCCATCCGTCAGCTGGCCCAGGCCCTCTGTCATGCTGGCACGTGTGAAGGGACAGAGGGAGGGTGATTCTCGCCAACCCCACAAATCTGCCACCACCCAGCACCCCTGGCAGCTCCTCACAGCCCCTGGGATGCTCAGGGGGGATTGTTCTCCATGTTCCCTCTGGAAAAGGCTTTGGGGTGCTGCATGTGTGGTGCAGCTAGAGCAAATCCAAGGGAAGGGCTGGGGGTGGTTTCCCCATCATGCTGTCCCCCTCATGACGTGCAGCCTCCCCAAGCTGGCCATGTCCCTCGCCTTAGGGACACCACGAGCATTCACTCTGCTGAGGGCCAGCACATTGACTTGACAAGGCAGGGACGGAACAGCCCCCTTGCCCGCTGCTCAGCGTGGCAGCCGGCGCTCACCTGTACCCGAAGGCGCCGTCGTACACCGAGTCATTCAGGTAGATGACGGTGCCCCCAGGAAGGACGAGCTGCTGCCCCACKGGCGCGTTGTAGGACACCAGCCCATCTGCAGGGAGGGGAGGGTGAGTGCGCGGACACCCCGCCAGTCCTGGGTGCTGCTGGACAGAGCCCCCACGGGATGGCCAGCACCCCGGCTGGGCGCCGGGGACACGGGGACAGCACAGGAGCACACCACCCACCCAGCCAGACACAGCCATACAGCTCCACGCGCAGGCAGACACTCATGGAGTGGTCAGTGACAGGGATGAAGCGGACAAAGCGGGCGATCAGGGGCGGCTCCAGGTCCTTGAGGACGATGTCATAGGTGTTGGTGTTCCCGTCCAGCACCTGCAGAGAGAGAAGCACGGTGGGGATGGGCAGGAGAAGCCTCCTCTCCCAGCATCCAGCACAGCCCTCCCTCTCCTCCTCACCTGCTTGCCCTGCCGGTTTCTCCAGGAGATCCAGCGTGTGCCGTCCCGGCTGTAGCTGATTTTGTACATGGGGGCGAACTCGTTGCCRTGGCCCTTGCCGTGGCGCCCCTGGGTGCCCACCAGCGTGATGAAATGCAGGGCGTGCAGATCAATCTGCAGGAACTCCTTCAGGTCGTTGGGCTCCACAGCAGTCTTGGGGCACCAGGCTCCATCGCCCTCCTCCGAGTCCAGCCTGCGAGCCCAGAGCGGAGGAGCTGTTTGTGTCCCCCTTGTCCCCTACATGGCAGCCCAGACCCTGCCCTGGCTGTTGTGCGGGGTGCCCACACTCACCGTCCGTGCTTGGCAGCTGTGGAGTCAGACCATTGGCTGGAGGCTGAGATGTCCTCATCAGGGATGTGCCCTCCCGACATTCCCAAGGGATACCGACACACGGCTGTAATGACACCGGCCGGGCTCTGAGCGAGAGGGAATCCCTCCTTGGCTCCCCAGCCAAGGGCAGCCCTCTCCATCCCTCTGGCTTACAAAGGAAACAGAGCAAGGATGGGACAGCCCTGGCTGCGAGTGGAAAAGTACCCGGGATGGCAGGAGGGCTGCACCCCCGAGCGGCAGCCGGCTCCCTCCGCACCGCATCCTCGCTGCTTCCCAGGAGTTATTTTTTCACGCCTGGCTGCCAAGAGCACTGCTGAAAGGGCGGCTTGTTTGGCCATGTTTACTGTCTGGCTGCCGGCTCCAGCCCACCGCGCTCCCTCCACACACCACCCCGAGCAAACACCCGCACCGAGGTGGCGGGGACCAGGCAGGACACTGTGCCGGGGCCACCTCCTACCCCTGTGGCCCCCTGCTCGCCTGGCACTGCACTGCAGTGAAGAACCCACATCCCATTGTGTCACCATCCCCAGGACACCACACACAGGGATCATATCCTATATCAGGCACAGGGATGAGCTCATCTTCATCATGAGCACTGAAAGTACGGGAGCATCTTTTATCTTCTGCTCTCCCACTTGTGATGCCCTACAGAGCACAGCCCCCACTGAAATTCCCGTTTAATTATTGCCAAACATGGAGCCAGCACAGTTTCTTGCCTTGGCAATAACAATCCTGGCCAGGCAAAACAATGCTGCCAGGCACAGATGTCTGCAGGAGAAACAGGATTGTCTCCCTGAGTAAGCACCATGCAACCTCCAGGAAAAACCCAGCTACTCTTCCCATGGATAGAAGAAGCCTTTGGAGGGACGTGCTACAGGGATGCCCTGGGGAAACCCTGGGAAAACTTGGGCTCAGCCCATCCCTGCAGCACAGTATGGGGCTGGGCCCTGCAGTGTTGTGGTTTCTGAGCAGAAACCAGGCACCCTGGCAAGCCACTGCACTGAAGTGGTTTGCTGCAAAACCGCCAGAGAAGGCACAACCCAGCAGAGAAAACAATTCCCTGGCACCGTGCAGCCTCCAGGCTCGGTGAGCCCCCATGGGGACGGGCTCTGCTCCGAGTCCAAGCCGTGTCCAATGCCCCGCCTGCTGCCAGTGGCAGGACACGCCCGTGGCACACAGAGGGAGCTCCGCGGTGCCCGAGTGAGGTGTGGGACAGTAGAGTGCCCAGGCAGGTGCAGGCTTGGAGGGTCATCCTAARGAAAATCCTAGAGATGGTGGAGATGATGGATGGAAGCCCAAACTTGGCCATCTGGCAGGAACAGAGATCGGGGAAATGAAACTGGCACGTGCAGCTCCCGGTCCCTGTGTCACTTACCGGGGTTGACCTGRGCTCTGGCAGCCTGGGGGATGTGCAGCAGCAGCAGCGGCAGCAGCGACAGGAGGGCCGGTCCGGGGGTGGCCCCCATGTCGTATCCTGAGGAGACAGAGGCAGGGCTCTTCAGGCTGAGGAGCGGGCAAACACCAGCCCCGCTTGGGGCTGCCAGCCGAGATGGGAGCGCTTCCCCTGCACCAGTGTCCGCACCTCACCCTCGGAGGAGGAGCAGAGCCCCAGCCTCAGATGTGTGGGGGTGGTCCCAGGGATCCCGGCCACCGCCCCCGGCGTGCCACATCCACACGGGATGGCCACAGGAGCCGCAGGAAGCTCCCTGGGCTCTGCCCGGGGCCAGCTCTGGCTGCTGCCACCGCAGGGCACAGCGGCTCCGGCCGGGCCGCCCACCCTTGGACGCCTTTGAAAGCAAAAAGTTGCTCAAGCCCGTCATACAAAACAATAATAGCAGGGTGCTGGAGCGGCTTCCCTGCCTGCTGGCTCCCGGAGAGCAGCGCAGATCATCACCTGAGATTTACCGCGGGTTTCCTGGCACGGCTTCCCCTCCAGAGCGGGTCCCAGGGACGGTGTGACACAGACAAGGTGGGACACTGGGTGCGGGAGCCAGCTTGCCCCGCTGCTCGAGGGGAGCAGGGGATGAGGTGCAGGGGACCCGGGGGCCCTGGCAATGGGGCACGGGCTGCAGCACGGGGAGAGAATGGAATGGTTCTGGGGGGGCTTCTCCTGGGAGGGACAGCCCGCGGCACAAGGGGATATCCCCGGCATGTGCCTGCCCGCGTGTCAGCGCTGTCACCACGGCCATGACCCCGGCTCCGGCCAGCCCGCAGCTGCCAGGAACCCCCGGGCCCGAGCAGCTCCCACTGTGCCCACACACCTCTGGGGAGCCACCATGGGGTTTGGCACCAGGGACACCCCTAAACGTCACCAGCCCTGCCCCAGGCTCCCTGAGCTCCCCATTTGCCAAGAGTACTCCTGACACCAGCACCAGATCCAGATTATTCTATTCTATTCTATTCTATTCTATTCTATTCTATTCTATTCTATTCTATTCTATTCTATTCTATTCTATTCTATTCTATTCTATTCTATTC